GGAATTTTGACTCCTATATATATAAGCTTAGTACAGACATAATTACAACAGGTAATCGGAATGTCAAAATAAAGCTATCCTCTCAGATAGTAGCGATGGTAGCGAGTACGCTAGTCTTTTTTATCATCGGATCAGTCGAAAAAGCTTGTGACGTGATTACTTGTCATAATATAATATGGATTATAAAGTTAAATATACTTTATTATTATTAATTACTTTAATTTAAATAAAAAAATGAGAGGTCTTGGGTTCGAATCCCAGGGAAGCAATAAATTGTTTTATTAGACTGGGCAGTCTGGGGGAGAGTCCAATCAACTACTTGCCTGTTGATAAACCCTATCAGTGAAACGGACGCAGAAATGTGTTCGCCCCGTCCCCTTAGGTGGGAAAGGGGCAACTCACTTACTTAATTAGGTTAAATTAAAAAAAAAGCAAGCAAAATTTCAGCCCATCCAGTAATCGTTGGCGTTTTTACATTTATGCAAACACTATGTTACCGGAGATGCGTTGTTGTCCTTTAATCAGGCGTAGTCATTTAATTAAGGCCCATGTATTAATGTATTCACGTTGTAACGGCGTCGCAAAATCGAAATTGTTAGTTGCATAGTTCACGGAATTAACGTCATAAGTTCATAATTAAGTAGTGGACTTTATCGGGAGACGATTTATTGTATGAAGGCGCCATCTTTAGAACTCTTATTACAAAGACATAGATAAGTAATATATAGAAGCCTAAATACTGTTTGTAGTTTACGCAAGTAGTACACGTATAAATAAAACACTTTAACGGTTTAAAACTCGAAATATGTTAGTGAAACTTCTTTAATAATTATTGTAACTAGGGCCCGACGTTTCGGACGAGACACCCTCCATTTTTAGTCTCTCATAACCATGGCTCCTGCAAAGCCTCCGAAACGTACATAGTTAAAATAATTTTTAAATAAGTTTAACTAATATATTTCGCGTTTTAAACCGTTAGTGTTTTATTAGAGATATAAAATAGAATAGTACGCAGATACGCAGGCACAAGAAATCCTGGGTTCGAATATTTAGAAAACAAAAATTTTAATCTATTGCTTGTTGTAGGTACTAGACATACAGGGCAACGAAGTTTAATCACTTTATTGCCAACAAAAGGCAATAGTTATACGGACGTAGAAACATTTCCACCTAGTGCCCTAAGTACGAGAAGCGGAATTTAACATTTTATGTAGGATTTTCATGGAGTAGAACTTTTATTGTTTTTACCGGCAGTATAGGTTTCCTAAACGTACCCAAAAACAACGGTTCGATACATTCGTTGGAGCGTTCAAACTAACAAAACCTTCATTTATGAATTTGTAAAACAACGTATTTGTTTTCTAAGTCAAAACGAAATTATACACGTAACTACACACCCAATTACGTTAGCATTCGATATTCGAAATTGGCCAGCAACGAAACCAAATAGGCATTACATAATCACGACTCAATTGAAGGCTTCGACGCTATAATTTGTTAACCGTTCTGAAATCTTTACATACATTTTCAGACAAATTATTCATAAGTTTGTTATATTACATGTCGAGTTAACATAATTTATTTTAATTCCTCTTAAATAAAAAAAACATCTGTGCACCAAAAATACTATTCTTACTTTACAGGCGTTTATCAATTTTATTAAAACATTATTATAGCCCCTGTTTTTATATAATCACTTTTGCATGTAACTATATTGTGTTAACAAATTGGTCCTTCAGTCCGGATATAAAAATCTTTATAAACAAAATGATATCCGGATCGAAGGACCAATGTGTTAACGCAGTACTTATCAGATGTAAAAGTATATAGAAACAGTTGTATCAGCAATATAAATATGGACTGAAAACTCGGGAAATTATGAAACCAATTAATTTCGTAGATAGAGCACTTTTAAACAAAACAATCTGGAATCGGGGCAGACTTTGAGTTGACTAAGTACACAACGGTTAAATTATGCGAGACGTTGCAAGGAGCTTACAACTTTCGCGTTATTCCGACTTTCTTAGAGGCTACAAGCTGCTCTAAGCGTACATAACTTGAGAACGATCTTACAGCAGTATTAGAACTTTGAATTCATTGTGTAGTAAACGACGGTCACTTCATTTTCGAGTTTTACAAGAGCTTTGGTACACTTTATCGTACGATTATGTGGTAAGTTTTTATGGGTAATTATAAAAAATCACCTATGGAATTCAAAATTACGTCATTTTAAACGAAGACTCGACATTTTTGATGGTTTGAAGCAACTTGTAATTCATATTTTGCGATGAATTGTTAAAACTTAACAGCGCGTTGAATATATTTAATGGTTATTTATAAATACACCTAAAAAATATTTAATTGATGTATTCGACGCGCGTAAACTTCAGGAAAATACATAGTTTCGATTTGTATGTGTACGAAATCGTAATTCTCTTTTGTAAGCATTGTGACGGACGCATTATTGTGCCTGTTTTACTGATCAATTCCTTCCGCACTTAAAGCAATAGGCATGTGTTTAACCATCAAATAGCAAATGAGGTTCATTTTTTAGGCCAAATTATATAAACACGTGATAAACTCACTAACGATGCAGAATTGAATTACCTTTAAACGACAGCGTTTTAATACATGTTTACCAATTCAAACATCAGTAAACATGTTGAAATGCAAATAATTAGGTTATTTAGAAAACAAATTATGATACGTCTGTAGTTTACGTAAAAACATTTTATTTAAACAAATTTTGAATTAGGTTTGTATTTTAACTTTCGAAAAGTAGAACAATGTGTTAGTTACGAAATTACTTAAAAGTGAAGTAATCTTTCTGAAACATGCTGGACTTCGTCTGGAAACCTGGATATTAAACGGGTGGTAGGAATATAGAAATTACGTCCCGGGTAACGCACCACCGTCCACAGATGAAAAAGCCGTGAAACTTAATCGCGCTTCGGTTTCAGTCTGTAGATTTCAGAATATTCAAAGCACATCTTGGTCATCGAGTGAACCTCATACCATGTCTGTCCTTCTCTATCATTAAAAATAGGCAAGTCAAGTCAATAAAACGCAATATTCTAAATCGAACTTAGCAAATGAAATTATAACTCATACATTACTTTCAACTTCAAACGCCCGCGAAATGTATAGACTATAGACGTAATGGCAAAATTAATTAACATTAAAACTATGAGAAACAGTATTTAATAGTACGAGCGGTTACTGCAATTAGTCTAATGAATAAAGTGCATCTGGAAAATGAATATTCATAATACTTGGGGATAAATATAGAGAGATGCTAGTCAGATAGACCCGGGCAGATAATATAAAAATTGTGTATGTAAATACTGTCTATAGTTTACGCGAGTAGTACATATTCAAATAAAACACTTTAACGGTTTAAAACGCGAACTTATTGAAAATGATTTTTAATTATATTAGGTCACGGTCATTAATATTAGGTCACGGGGAGACCATGGCTGCTGCAAAGCATCCGAAACGTCGGGCCGAAGTTAAAAAGCTGCGTCAGCGACTTTGTCCGCGTAGAGTAGTTATTTTGGGCATCCAAAATAGTTTTTTGCAAACTGTTACCTACGTCATCGGTCGCGGGCGAGGGGATGCTGTCGTTCAGTTCACCTCGTTCTTGCGAGTTCGTCTTAAGAGATAGACATATATAAACTGTCGTGGACATTTATTTTTTGATAATTTAAAGTAAAATCATTCTCTCGTACATATTTTTTGTGTATCTTGAGCCGTTTTCGCAGCGTACGCATCGATAACCTACAAAAATAAATAATTTACCGCCGTTACTTCGCTCCTATTAGTCACAGCGCAATGTTTTATATAGTATAGCCTTCCTCGATAAATGCTCTAACCAACAAAAATCGAACCAGTAGTTTCTGAGATTAGCGCGGTTAATCAAACAAACTCTTCAGCTTTATATATTAGCATAGAATTTTATTACTGTGATCGCAAATTCGGCAATGTCTTATGGGAACCACTTCGAAACTGTGTTAATTATAGAAGAATCTAGTTATTTTAAATAATAGATAGGTTAATTTCGTAATACAAAGTACAAACCCTAAGTTATGTCTGTTTTGAATGTCTTTAGTGGTACACATTAAATTAACTACTTTAAAAGGTTCATTTATTTGTGACTAAACTATTTTAGATTTTACGTTCCAAGGGGTTGAAGAAATTCGACGATGACGTGTGATACACGACCACTTAATCGACTATCGCAGCACGGGACACTGAACAGGATGCCAGTTCAACTTTCGACTGTGTCGTCATTTTTTTTTCACTTCTTAGATATTCAATTTTCTAAAATTTTCTTGAAACGTGTGTATTCTCGGAGAAAAAGAATTTCTTTCGAAAAAACCGAAAACAGAGACTTATTAATAACTTATTTGTGTTTCAGTGGATTTTTTTTTACAAACATATGTTTTCCATTGTTTTAAAATTTACGAACCGAATGTATTATTGTTTTTGTTTCATTGCATATTTTGTTTGTTTTTGGAAATAACATTTTTCGACGTAAGTATAACGTTTAATTCGTGTAAAGATTTTTACAACATTGATAAATGAAAAAAATCTATCAATTCTATAATATGTTTGTTTATTGGTGAAACTGAAATACTATGATTGTTTATTAGTTTAACTATAATATATTGTATATAGCTTCAACCTTTACTTTTAAATAAAACAATTTCAGCGGTTTAAAATGTATTGGTTAACTTAAATAGAATTTATTTTAACTACGGCCCGACGTTTCGAATGCTCGGCAGCAGCGGTGGTCACGGGGGACTTTTTTTCACTAATATATTTTGTGTTTTAAATTATAATAAAACAGTTAATTATTTAAATCTGTACTACTCGCGTAAACTTGACAGTACTTACTTCGATTAAAGTTAAAATTAATACCTATTGTTATACGAATAAACACTATTATGAAAATGTATAATTTTAGAATGGAATTAGATTAATAATTTTAAAAAACTTACCGAAATTTTTAGCAGCATGGACGGATGCGATAATGACGACGAATACTTCAACTGAAAAGATAAAAACTTATTAACAACTGCAATATTTGCTATGGCGTATGCATACTACAAAAATAATAAATTTGAATATTACAAAATATGTATTAGAAAAAAATTAATAAAAAAGTTAGGTTAATTTTCTAAATTACCTATCGCGAACATTTTGGCGGGAAACGCCGCGGTAAGCGAGTGTACCCCACCGCGATTATAGGAAAACTGCCAACACATTACACAAAACGTTGGGTAGATGGAAAGGACCGTTTACCGTATTATAAACTCTTTTGACTTAATCTTTTATAAAAACAATTAATACCACAGATAACAATTTTTTTATCTGCGGAAACCAAAACTGGCTATATATTTGTTTTTTAATAATATTTTAAGGCCTAGGCCAAATAAAGGTAATTAAAACAAATTTTATCAAAAAATGTCTATTTAATACCGTTTTGTTGTTTAAATTAATATATTTTGGGAGATACCAGAAAATTTTCGTTGGCGAGTCAACAATGTCTTTGTTTTTATACTTATGAATATATACGCGTATATGACTGAAACAAACGGCCTTTAGATATTTTATATTGGACTCTGCGTGCTTTGAGACATGAAAGAAATGGGGAAATTGATTATTTCCGACGAAAAACGCTGTGTGAATTTGGATTTTCAAAGAAGGGAAGCAATAGTGATTTCACTAGAGTTTATGTGTAAGAAAAAAACAGTTTAAATTGTAGTAATAAATTTTATTTATGTAGTCAATAAGTATGTATTGTTCTAATAAGGTCTAGTGAATTAAATAAATAAATATTATTAATAAACTAATACATGTTCCTATTAATAATATTACAACAATACTATAAAATTTAACATTAATTGTCAAACCTTTTTTTATCTGTTAATTTTTTTAAATCTACCTTTTCATAAATACTAAGCTATTTTTTTATATGTCTTCTCTAAAATTAGTTTAATTTAAGGAATGAAGGAAATTAACAGACAGATGAACATGGTATACAAAATAATTAATTAAAAATCAAAATAAGACAGTGACATGTATACCAAAGTTACTATAATATTGAATATAAACTGTGTGTTGCATTTTCATGTTAACAATAGTTAATTCTATTATTATCTTTATTTATTATAAGAGCTGTGAAACGCAACTATGTATTAGGATATTGTAAAAAGTAACTAATATGCTTAGCTACAACTTAAGAACTTTCTAGTTTTGTTATGAATATGTATAATAACTGATTTTATAGAGTATACCAAACCTAGTGTTCACTATCACACATTTAATAGTTTGATTTTCATTGTGCATATCAAATAATGGGTAGTTGGCTGAGTGTAATAAGAAATTCATAGGTGAGTCTGATTCTCACCGAGGGCAGCATTTAAATGATTATCTTATTTTGCAAACATATGTTTTCAACAAGAAGAATAACCTAGAGGAAAAGGTGTGTAGTGTAAAATACTCCATATCCAAAAAAAATTGACAGTCTTTGATAATAATGGGCTAAGGAAAAAAGTAATTCTGTTTTCCCGTGCCATTAATAAAAATATATAATAAGCATAATGTGTAATATAATGTAATTGACTGACTCTCATTAAATTTAACACATGGTTCAGTTACACTTAAATATACCACTAAATAATACTTTAGTTGTTGTATGTTATATCTTTTAAAAGCAATAAACATTTTTCTGTCTTCCAAAGCCTTATTTTAATTAAGAAAAAAAACTGTTATACTGCAAACCTGCTTTTTGCAAACTAGACACTTACTCACCATTAATCATGATCATTTTAAAGGACATTCTATATAATCCTAACGCAAAAAACGACAGTAATTCAATTTATAAGTTTTTATTTTAATATTACTAGTCAAAACACAGTCTGTATAGTTGTATACAAACTTTGGTAAGTTTTTCTTTTCCCTGTTTAAACTTTTCGAAAGTTTGACAATAACAGCTTTTGACAATTAAATAATGCAGCTGTCATAACCACAACATCTAACATTCGATATATAAATCAAGATGTATTAGATTACGTTACTGAATATTCAAATCAAATATGTTAATAAATAATAAGATATTCCAATGCATATATTAATATACCCACGGGTTACAAGGAAAAAACTAGTAACAATGCTATTTCTTGTAAATTGTCAATTGTCAAGTGTTTGTAAGAAGTAAGGACATTGACAGCAGTCAACGCTATTGTAAATTTGTAAAACCAAAAATGTAAATATATGCCAATCTAAATATCAAAACAAAGGCTTGATTAAGGCTGTCGAATACACAAACAGAGAAATTAGTACCAAACACATACATAAAAAGGTCGCTTACACACTCTAATAAAAAGTCACTACTACTAACTAAATTCATGCATAATATTTAAAATAGGTCATCGATATGTCAAGTCATAATTTACGATGATATGATTTGAAAGTTCAAGCAAGTTTCAAAGTTCGTATGATTTGAATTTCAATAGAGAGTTCAAACTTCAGATACTCAAGGTACTCATATTTTTATTACAGAACTTTTTCTGAGAGTGCGGAAAATATAGGGCTTCTATGTTATCTAAAATCAATTATATAAGTGTTCAGTAATCAGATAACAATTACGATACCGTAATTATTTACATTCGGCCCCGGTTGTGCATAAGAATCGGACGTGTACAAGAATACATGTGCTATTAATTATTATTGGTCATCGAGATGAAAGAAACTGTGTCTGATGATGTACTCAGAGAGTACTTCCCTGATCTGCCCTTGGGACCTCTGGATGGTTATAGACGTAAGGCATCTTTCGATTGGAGGCAAATGAAACTTGTCTATGATACATTGTCCACAATAAAGATGAAAGTAAGTTTTTAGCTATAATACAAGTAGTTATCTTAATAAAAAAAGAAGTTATCTTAATATTGTTATATTTTTTTAAAGATATTAATAGAAAGACATTTAGCTAGTAATGAATATTTAAACTTTGCCATAGAATTTATACTTGTTAAAACATACTTTTTTTATTTTTATGATGGAATAATAAATGTTTATTTACTTTTTTTGTCAGTATGTAACCTTAGATTGATGTAACATTTTCTCTAAAGTATTAAATTTACATTACTACTTTTCAGTAATTGTAATCAAAATAATAAGTTAACTAAATAAATGCATTTTAACTGTTAAGAGTGATTTTTAAAATGTTAACTGTTAGCTTTTAGCTATATATGTATACAAAATTCTACATTTAGATTGTTCTTTTAATCAGAAGAGGAAAGTTCTATTTTATATTGTTAGAATTGTATCCAAGTACACATTTGATAGCATAATATTTATGTTAAATGCATTTCAAAATAAAGTTGATCATAGTCATTCTAAAAAATGATATACCAATTATTTTTGTAAGAAATTCTAATTATTAACCATTCCTTCAGCATGACATCTGGAGCTTCATGGAACAACATCCACTGTTCCAACATGCAGATTTACCACTCACCATGGATGAACAAAGGCATTTAGCAGTGAAAAGGATGTATGCTTTGTACAATGAAAGATTTGCCCCCATCGAAAAGGTATTTGATAGCATATCTGTACAAAATAATGATAAAATTCAGAAGGACAAACAGACAAATGATAATGCTGAAGGTCAAATGGAGTTATTGACCCTCATTAGGGCGGAGCTAAGGTTGATCTCACCAAAAATAGATAATGTACTTAGACAAACAACTTTAATATTTTTCACATAAAGGCACTATATAGTTTACAAATCGAAAAAAAAATTAATGGAAGCTCAGTAGCTCAATTGATAGAGCAACAGCACGGAACGCTGACGATGCCGGTTCAAGTCCTGCCCAAGTCAACAATTTTTTCAATTTATTTTCGATTTTAAATTTACTTAGACAAATCCAAACAAATCCGAATTAAAATCTCATTGTACCAAAGAAGTTATATATATTTAATATGAAAATTTTAATTCAAATAATGCTGTTGATTTTACTTTGTATGATTTGTTATCGTATAGTACAGAATTGCACTATAGTTATTTTAAAATGTGCACTGTAAATGTTGACAGCAAAACACAAAGAACCAGTTCAAAATGAAATTATAATCTTTTTAATCTATGCTTTGTTAATATGGGCAATACATTGAATGTTGTTACTTCTAGATTGCTCAAGACCCGAGAATCTTTCAAGCAGAATCCGAAGCTATGTTCATGTTTGACAGCTCCTTGACTGTCAAAATCTCACTGACCTTCCGAATGTTTTCCAACTCGATTCAAGGGAGCGGAAGACCAGATCAATATCATTTTGTTGAGGATGTAGAAAAGGCGAAAATCGGGGGGTGTTTCGCACTAACGGAAGTGTCACATGGTTCTAACGCTAAGGGAATGCGGACAACTGCAACTTATTGCCCAGAAAAGAGACAGTTTGTATTGCATACGCCTGACTTTGAAGCTGCCAAGTTTTGGGTTGGGTGCTTAGGTAAGACATTACCCTTCCTTATAATTATTACACTTTCTTTTTTATGATTTGTTCTTTATTTGACCTCTAGTCTTACTGTGTTCCTTGAAAAATACATTTAAAATTTATCTAATCAGTCTGTCTGTACACCTTAAATCTAACAGTGTTTAAGATATTCGTTATACTTTCGCCGTAACTAAATAAAAACACTGCCTTTGTCTTTCTGTTTAAACAACTAATTAAGAACATGTTTACCCAAAAAAACTATTCTGCTGAAAGTCGCGCGCATAACGTCTAGTCATGTTTTTTCATTTCAAGTTCAAAACCTTTGTTTCTGTATAATCTGTTTGGCCTATTGACACAATGTACATACAATGAATACATTACATTCAATAGCTAGTCTTGTGGCTTTAAAACTCTTTAACGGTTTAAAACGGAAAAGTCTTGTTATTTGTTTTTTTTTTTGTTATATATAAACAAGTCAACTAAGTTATTAGCCTGTTATCCCGCTATTGATTCAAACCCAAACACTCTTGTGCATGGTGTCTGTGTTTTGGGTTCGAATTCTGGGAAAAAAATATAAAATGTTAAAAGTGTGAAAGTCCCTTCTCATACCTATTGTTTAACGTGATAATAGAATAATACTGTAGAAATATTATTTATATATATTTGTATGTTTGCCAGGTAAATGCGCCACCCATGCGATAGTCTACGCCATGCTTATATCAAAGGGAATCAACCATGGTCTTCACTCGTTCATCGTCCCCATTCGGGACCCCAAGACCTTGAAGCCGTTTGCTGGCGTCACCGTTGGGGACATTGGAGAGAAGATTGGTCTGAACGGTGTTGATAATGGGTAAGACAAGATGTAAATGACGTAAAATTGGACCTAGCAGAGTAAGATAAAAAAAATATATTTAAACAGTTTAATATACTTAACCTTTTAATCCGTAAAAGTGATTGTGGTAAATTAATTATATACAAACATTAAAAAATATTACGCCAATCTTTTGTCATAATAAAAGATTTCACATAAGAATTTTTGTTCCATATAAAACATTAAATCTAAAATTAAAAAAACTCGTTTGACGGGCTTAGTGGTGAATTGGTACCTATTGCTAATGATCGACTGGTTTGATTGATGTGGGTGGTTGTGGGTAGCTGTGGGTGTGGTTCAATCTCCACTCTTCTGAATAATCGTCCGTATGGCTGTCCGTGGCCGCGAATATCAAAGTTTCGTCTGGCTTACGAACCACCGTTTACTGGTAAATTAGCTATGAAGCGTAATCACGTTTGTTTTTCCGTCTGGTTTTTATAATGTACAAATTCACAATAAAGGTATTTCCCCTTCCAAGTGATCTCCATGCTCCCCCGCTCCGTTCTCATACAAAGAAGATTAGACTGTAAAAATTATATTAATTGTTTTAATAATTAAGTTAAAATATACAAGCGTATGTTTGAATAGTTTTATATTTATAATTTCAGTTTTGTGATGTTCAGTAACTACCACATACCAAAGGAAATGGCTCTGGATAAATTGGGTGGTGTGGACGACAATGGGGATTATAAAACACCATTCAGGGATCCTAGTAAACGATTCGGGGCTTCCTTGGGAATACTGTCAGGTAAGTTATGTCTGAAGCATTACGAAGTTGACCTCACGCAGGTATGAGGAACATTTATTGTAATATCTATCACGGATACTTCTCACAAATAGCTTAGAGGAAGCTCTTTGTGTCTAAATAAAAGACAAACGAATGTGGTCAGAATTTATAAAAGTGGGAATGTATAGTATAATTAAATCGATTTATGTATACAACAGGTTACTGCAAAATTTTCTAAACGATGGAAAAACAGTCGGACATTTATGTATAAGAAAAAACATAACTTATAAAGCTATAGTCTAAATGAAACACTTTAACGGTTTGTCTCCCCATGGCCACGACTGCTAAGCATCTGAAACATCGGGCGCTACTATGTTGCGTTTTAAACCGCCAGTGTTTCATTTCAATGTAAACTACAGACAGTATTTAAAGCTATAGTTTATAACGCATTTTCCTTGTATATGACATATTATAAAAACTTCTCTTAATATATTTGCACACGTTTTCATGTTTTTATCCGTTTAAATAAAAAAAAACCATTTAAAACGAATCATATTATTTATTTCTTTTACAATGCTTCATCAGGAGGTCGAGTTCATATCACATCGATATCAACTAATTACCTGCAAAAGGCAATAGTGATTGCTGTAAGGTACTCCGGAGTGAGGAAACAGTTCGGGGCTGAGAATGGTTCCGAGGAAATGCCTGTGTTGGAATATCAACAGCAGGTAAAGTATTGACTGATGAGTCTAATTTCTCCTCGAAGCATCAGAAGTGAATCTTGTTGATCAAATTGTTTATTTAATGTAATATTCTAAGTGCAATGTTATATTTTTTAACTTTTATAATTCTTGAACCCTTTAAACTGATTTTTTATAGTTTTTGCCATTTGAAGACTTGTGAATCAATCAAACAAAAATCAATAATGCTATAATTTAGTTAGTAATAATCTGATCTGATCGTCAATTTTTTGACACGTTGTACTGTAGCTCCTATTTTTTTTCTCTATACAGCTTTCAGTGTGCAAGCCAGTTTGAAATTTGAATGAAACCTTCGATGAGTTACCTCTTTCGTCGCCATGTTGCGGAGATCTTTCCATTTTTAAATTAGGCAACAAATATTATTTTGCATTATAATTTATTTGGCCGTTAAACACGATAGATATGTATTTTGGTAAAACTGTTGCCGACCGCTGCTCGACCATTCAGCAAGTTCAATTTCAAGCATGTTTCAAAAATATTTTGTTCCTTTATTTCAGCAAATCCGTCTTCTGCCGTACTTAGCAGCGACCTATGCATTCCGCGTTTTCTGTTCGTGGTTCGGCACTACGCACGTACAGATGACCATAGACAACATGATGGGTAAATTTGTCTAATATTTCTATTGTTTATAGACTATTTTTGAAATATGATAAACTATGTTTGTCACGTTTTTATTTATAATAAACTAGCTGTGCCCGGGACTTCGTCCGCGTGGAGTAGTGGCTTGTCTGTTTATTAATTTATATAAGTGCGCATTTAAGGCAGCCAATCTATGTTGTAAATGCTATTTTGTCGCAACACTCTCACCTCACATCACTTCTACTCTAACTCCCACTCCCACTCCTACTTCTATTCCCAAAAAGCCAAAGAAGAAAGCTTTATTGTTTTAGCTTCAAAAAACTACGAATTTTCATACAACTTTTTAAATTAAACTATTTAAATTGGCAATTTTATTCGTTAATTGATTATCAACTGCGATGATGGGATGATGATAAAATTATGTATATATAATTCGCGTTTTAAATCGTCGATTTTTTTTTTATTAACTAGCAAGATTAAAGATCGTATACCATACTTGTAAAGCCGTACAGAAATAAATGTCTGACATTTATGTTAGTATTGCTGACATAGTCTAAATGTTTAAAAGTCTTTTTTTTTTCAGGTAAGACTGAGAATGCCGCAAATAAGGGTATGGAGATGCACGCGTTATCTTCAGCCGTCAAGCCCATATCTGGATGGACCGCGAGAGATGCCATACAGAACTGTAGAGAAGCTTGTGGCGGGCACGGGTATTTAAAAGGTAACATAGTATATTAATAAAGGCTTAAATCTATGAGAATGTTTGAAAGGCTTTCAAGCGAAAATGGCTACATTTTATGAAATTTGGTGTTAACATTAACAGAATGACGCCTGAAATAATGAATTTAAATTTGATATGCAAATTTATTTTAAATAAAACACTTTAACGGTTTAAAACGCGCGCTATATTAGTTAAACTTATTTGGAAATAATTTTCGGATGCTAACTTCAGGAAAACCGTCGGGCGAGTTAAAAATCATTTCCGAATAAGAACCAAAACGGCTTCTGAACCGTTAAAGCATCCGAAATGTCGCACTACTCGCGTAAACTATAGACAGTATGTAAATTTCTACTAGCCGTATAACGTTGTAAAATGCAATGTCATGATTGAGAATGTAATGATTAAGAATCAATTGTTATTAATTTTAAATTGGCTACGATAAGTGCCCATAGTTCGCGATGGTATCAGTGTGTGGCTATAATCAATGGGTCGCTGGTATGATCCCCATCGTATCCAACATTTTTCAAAACAATATAGAATATTTCTCACCCATTTTGGACTTCGTCTGGAAATTTGAATATTGTATGAGTGATAGGAATATAGAAATTCCGCCCGGACACGAATCACCGCCCACAGATGAAAAAGTCCTAAGTTTGATTGCGCCTCGATTTCGGTCTGTGGATTTCAGAATACTTAAGGTCGACAGCGGTATCTTGTTTAGATGTTATATGGCTAGATCTTTCACATACCATCAAGTGACTCTGTGCGCGTCTGTCCTTCTCTATCATAAATTCAGAACATGTTATGGTTGTGACATTGTAGTAATTTTTGTAAATAATTTTTTACAGCTGCAGCTATAGGCGATATACGTAACGACAACGACGCGAACTGCACATACGAAGGCGAAAACAGTCTTCTAGTGCAGCAAAGCAGCAATTGGCTGCTGGGAGTGTGGCCTCAGAGGAACATTATCACCCCGGAACAAACTCCTTTGGGATCGTTGGAGTTTCTGAAGGGAGTAGACAGGGTGCTTACTGAGACTTGTCGGTGGTGTAATGCGAAGGATTTGGTTGAACCTCAAAGTAAGTGATGGTATTATCTCGTTGAAGTTCTTCAAATGTTTTTTGTAAACATAAGTTTTATTTTATATTCATGTAAAATACTAGCTCACCTTATATAAAGGTTTTCGTCGAAATTGGATTTCCTTAAACATTCTTATGAAAAAGATAACATAGTGTCGGTGACATTTTTAAAAACATTTAAAGAGGATTTATTATTTCGCACATATTGTTTGGGTATCTTGAGCCGTTTACGCAGCGCGCGCAACGGAAATCCTCAAAAAAGTGTAAAGTTCGTTTGTTTGTTGTCGTTTTATTGGTCGCAGCGTGGTGGTACAGCCTTAAGCTTATATCATATTATTTCAGTAGTTCTTGCGGTTAGCGCGTTCAAACTCTTTAGCTCTATAATATAAATATACATAAACGCATTTCGTTTCCGTGTACTGATCAGATTCCTTTAAGGAAGTAGTACACACGTTTCCCCGCCTGACGCTAAACAGTCTATTGTTTCCGTGTCACGGATCAATTCCTTTAAGACCATTTAAGCGTTAACCATTTAGCTACAGAAGCAATGTTAATATTTTAATGATTGACGTTTTCAGATCTAATCGAAACATACAAATGGCTGACAGCATACACGCTCAAGATGACGTATGAGAAAATAACGAACTTAAAGCAGAGCGGAAAGAGCAGTCTCCAAGCGAGGAACGAGTCACAATCTTATAATGCTGTTAATCTTTCCGTTATATACGGCGAGGTACAATAAGTATAATTTCTCAGAAGATTTCTAATCAATACTGTCCGTAGTTTACGCGAGTACACATTTTAGTAAAACACTTTTAACGGTTTAAAACTCAAAATGTATTAGTTAGTCTATATAGAGTATTCACGGCCATTGCAAAGTATTCGGTACGTTTGGCCGTAGTTTAGTTTTTAAATAAGTCTAACTCATACATTTCCGTTTTAAACCGCTAAATGTGTTTTATTTAAATTATTCGATCTAGGATCATATAATTAAAATCTGTCTCACCGATGGCGCCACATATGAACCGTCCGTTGTACTATTGTAAATGAAAGTGGATATCTCGCTGTCTATGATATAGTGCTAAAAAGGGATAAACTTTACAGAATTTCATCTTGAATCACTTTTACAAAACCGTGAAGGAGTTTGAAGACGAACCGTGTCGTAAAGTACTATTAAAGCTGGTGGCGTTGTATGGAGCTTTTCTACTTGAGAAGCACATGGCTACATTGTATATTGTAAGTATATTAATATGTAGAAAAAAAAATAGTATTATATAAAACTAAAGAGTTTGTTGGCAGTTCTCAAAGTAAAAAAGTATAGGACTTTCAAAATTGTTTCGTGGCCAACCTGCAAAGACGTACCAATTCTCATTGGATTAACCCCCCCCCCTATTAAACAATATTTTCAAGTGTTACGTAGCATATTTATGTATGGAAATTAATAATTTCATCTACATTTCAACTATATTAAACCAACGTTCAAAAAATATGTGTCTTGATGCAAAATCGATATCGACCCCCCCCCCACCTTTTATTTATTTTTTTCCGTTTCTAGGGCGGCTACTTCACAAAGGATCAGGGTTTGTACCTTCGTGAAGGTATACTGCAGCTCTGCTCGCAAATCGCTCCGGAGGCTATAGCTCTCGTTGACACCCTGGCTCCACCAGACTGGTGTTTGAACTCGGTACTTGGTGCATCCGATGGCGAGGTATTTATATTATTCCCATGATCTACATTACTAGAAGATCTAACGTCCTTTGCTTATCCTTACGATAAAACGCCTTATCTTGTATGTTTGTGAAATGTGTCTTTTTGGGACAATGGTTGTAATTTTTGGTCGAAAAAAATCAAGTCTAAGAAAAGTTTTCAATCAATCAATCAATCAAATTTTATTGAACAAGGCAATAATAGGTTAAAAAAATAGCTTAAAAGCTAGTAAAACATTTTTTTCTCTCCGAAACTTATTCCGAAAAAATATAGTGTAGAAATACAATGTCTCTAACAAGTAAATTTAAATAGGAATGTCCATTTCTGGCCACAAACGTACAATATTGCGTCATCGTATAATAGCTTCTAATTTAACAGTATCGCGATACCAAACTAATACGATGTATTATTCACAGGCCTACAAAAATATACAGAACAATGTAATGACATACCCCGGATCAATGACTCGTCCGGAGTGGTGGAAGGACGTCGTGTTTTGGGATACATATGTGCAATCTAAGCTATAATCTTTTAATATTCACCCTAACTTAAAATAGCTTTATCAATTGTTTGGTATTTAATAAGCTTTACCTGCTAAGGATATACTTTAAATAACTAGGGTCCAACCCTAGCACATAACCTCAAAATTTGCAATTTTTGAGTAGGTGTTTAACGGGTTGGTTCTTCTGTACTCTTTTGTCCCTGTTGTTAATTTGTGTTAAAAAAAAGTCTTGTAAACATTCCTTCTACTTTGTTTTTTATAAATATGTATATCTAATTGTTACATGGTGTTGTAAACAATATAAAATACGGCTTCAAAATTGTCTACAATTGCAATTTTCTTAGAGAACTGTAATGGTGAAAGTTTTTACTAATAGAACAGAACTATAATTTTAACATACTCTTGAAAATGCTCAAATTATATTTTTCTAGTGTGCCAATTTAGTTTTTCTGAAGGTGAATTTAAAAACTTAATTTTAACGGCTTTAGACTAAGTGCAATATTATGTGGTGTGGAGGGTTAGACATTATTGTGATACTATAATAAGTTTTTATAGGATTTTTATATACATTTTGTTGGGATTATTATAATTATATTTTATACTAACTTTTAAAAAAATAAAAATATATTTTTAATACGCAGTTTTTTTTTAATATTTAATAATTGTCAAATTTACTATTTATTCTACTATATATTTTTACTGAAATGACTCAGCAGGGTGTTGTCTCTTTCCCGCAACTCCCTATGTAGAACAATGATAAAAAAGGAGGTCGTTTTTTGTTTATTAAACAGTAACAAGTTACTTAGCTAATTAATTCGTTTCGAGTAGACTATAGTAAGATAAAAAACATTTTTTTTTACTTACAAGTGTAATGTCAGTAATTTGTATTGATACGAATACGCTTTTATTTTTAATTGCCCTTATAAATAAAGGGCTGTGTATAACCCTCTCCCACTAATTGGATTTACATACTAAATGAATGCTGTCAATCAACGTCTACAAAAAAGGCTACTACTACTCTTGTCTGAAACATGGCCCGGTTACCACTCTTTGTGTTGAGTGTACTATTTCTTAAAATGTAAGTATTTTGTTACTACCCATAGTAATATACTAGTAAACCAAAAAATATTAAAATATATATATTCAAAATTTTGCCCGGAAGCAGTAATTGGTCATCTATAAACGGATTGTAACATTGAAAATTGTCAATTTTTCTATAGCGTAAGACTCCTTTTGAAAAGTAAATATACTTACTTTGCAGAGTGAACGCGGACATAAGAACGATTATTAAGAACGTAAATGTACGTAAAGATCTTCAACACGTAATTATTAACGTGCTTAATGACGTAGTTAAAAGGAATGACGTCACTTGCGTTACGGCTATTACAGATGAAGTCTACCTAAACATCTTTGAAGGGGCGTTCTTCAAAAGAACATACCCTGTACCATTTGTCACAGTATGTTTTTTTATTTGATATAAATACTTTTTAAAATTGCTTAATTATATTGACCGAATTACTTTTAGCTACACTAAAACATACATTTTTTTCTGAACAGATCTTCAATTAAGTAAAAAATAATCATGCGATTCTCACTTAAAAATTCAATCACAAAATCCCATCTCATAGTTCTACTACGTGTACCTATAGGTTATGTTAACTTGTGATTTTTTAAATATTAGGTAACCGTGAAGTCAAAGGTTCTAATCTCGGTTATATGCAACTTTTGTGTGTTACGAAAATATTTACATTCTCGATAGTAAATGCCCTTCCAAACGGTCTTTTCCTGGCACAAAGTCATGATAGTCCAAGATTAAGTCTCTAGAAACTGACGCGAGAGTTGATATTCACTTCATAGATAGTGGTTGAAGAGCACGAAGACTTGTTATCACCAAGTACTGAAACTCTCGAATCCATGGCGAGAGCAAAAAAAGATGGATGCAATGTGTATTTCATTATTTTGGCTAACGGCTTGCAAGTTACTCGGCTTCTGACGTTTGGCGATAAGTGGGTATAAGCATATTTTAAATATAAATTATATAGGCTTACGGTTTTAAAACTGTTCAGCCGTCGTATTAGAGAAAGCGACGATCCTAATGTTATCATTCACATAAATGGCGGAACGTCGAGAAACATAATCTCGATTACGACGGTCGATCGGCGTAAAAGCACGAGATGTTTTATATTTGAAATATTATAAAATTAAATACTGTCTATAGTTTACGCGAGTAGTACACATTTAAATAAAACACTTTAACGGTTTAAAACGCGATATATTAGTTAAACTGATTGACCACGGCTGCTGCAAAGCATCCGAAACGTCGGGCCGAAGTTAAAAATCATTTTCAAATCAGTTTAACTCATATATCGCGTTTTAAACCGTTAAAGTGTTTTATTTAAATATTTTAAAATTATCAAGGGTAAGGTTAGTTAGAATATCTGGCAAACTGTGTATCCTTAACGTTTATAATCGATTGAGTCTCAATATACTAGTAACAAGCTACATTGAATAAACATATTTGGTTATAGATATAGACTCCTAGACACACGAGCCAAATTTGTGATGCTACACGACATCAGACTGTTTCACAGCGACTACCATTACTTATGGAAGCGAATAGTCAACGTTATCTTTATCAAACACCATAAAAAGGTTGTTGGAAAGTTACGGAGTAAACCCTGGTTTGACATATCCACCGTTCCTTATCCTAATCCGATAAAGGGAATCTTTGTTCCACGGAGAGTAGATGTTTGGAGAAACGGCAGATTTCAATACGGGAAAGAATTGTTTTTCGACAAAACAAGCAATTTGAATGGAGAGGTTTTGAACGTGGTTTATTTGGAGCATGTTCCATCTGTGATGGTTATGAAATTTAATGAATCGAATAAAGTCAGTGGTGTAGAAGTTGAGGTAAGTGAAACTTCTCTGTCAAAAAAATGAGTAGTTTTAACGATGGTCGCCTAGTTAACTATAGTTACTACAGTGTCTATAAAATTCTACTAAACTGCTATTCGACTACATAGTCACATGAAATATTGAGTATAACGTATTTCTCGAACATCTAAAAAAAATAAAAGACACTTTTAATTACTGTCATCAAGTGTCTTGTTTCTTTTATCTTGTCTTTTTTTTATTTAGTATCTAGAGACAAAACTGCAGGGTTTGTTTGTTTGTTTAAACGCGCTAATCTCAGGAACTGCTAGTTCGAATTGAATAATTCTTTTTGTGTTACTTATAACATTTTTCGAGGAAGGCTATGGGCTATAAAACATCGCGCCGTAACTAATAGGAGCGAAAAAAAGTACGCAAAAACAAAAGTCGCTGATAAACGTACCTACTTTGTTTATTAGGGTTTAAAAAGCTCCTTAGAATCAATGTCGATGCTCTAGGTTTGGGTACCAGGTTCTCTTGGGAATTAATTGATGATGAGAAATGCAATACAGCTTAATTAATTGAAATACGGTGTCCTTACATTTACAGATTCTCAATACACTATCCCAAAAAATGAACTTTCAGCCAAAGCTATACCAATCGTTGGATTCTGATCTCCAAAAATTGGGTGAAGAACAAGAAAACGGCTCGTACTCTGGCCTCTTGGGTGAGATGGTCAACGGCAAAGCAGACATTGCTCTAGGCAACCTCCAGTATACTCCTTACCACCTGAACTTGACGGATTTGAGTATACCATACACTGCGCAATGCTGGACCTTTCTGACACCGGAAGCTTTAACTGATAACTCTTGGAAGACCTTGATTCTACCTTTTAAGTAAGATTAGGTGATACCTACCATTTAAAGTTTCAGTAGCTCTATTGCGCACGCGCCTAAAACACAAAAAACTCGTTAATTTAAAGGTGTTATTAAATTTTTCATTTAGGAAGAACAAAAAAGGGCTTATCGTCTTGTTCAGTAAAATAGACACTTCTTTATGTATACTATGTTTAATTAATACTAAAACATCGTATTGCAGGTTGAACATGTGGATCGCTGTTCTGTTAGTGCTCTTAGTAACAGGTGCAATTTTTTATGGATTAGCTTATTACTATCTAAACTTAGTTGACTTTAGAGAGATTTCGAAGAATTCTGCAAATAAAAGCAAGAAGAAACTGTGCGGTACTTATATACTTTTTATATTAAATAAGTATTAATTTGTTTGTTTAACTACATTATAAATATTATTTTATTTAAATAAACCACTTTAACGGAGACCTCTCCCTGTGACCATGGCTGCTACAAAGCATCCGAAACGTCAAGCCGTATTTAAAAGAATTTTTAAATAATTTAAACTACCATATATCGCGTTTTAAACCGTTAAAGTGTCTTACTTAAATGTTTACTACTCGTGTAAGCTACAGACTGTATTTCATATTACTTTACTCGAGTACAATGTATATGAAGTTCAAAGCGCCATTGACCTACCCCTATCCTTGCAAAGGTTGACAACCTCCATTCAGGTAGTCTGCTAACCAGAAACAGGCTCGACTTGACTCATAAAACTATCATTGCAGATACGAAACCAGTCGGGCTCTATTTGTTCGGCGAAATAACAAATAGCATTTTATACACATATGGTATGCTTCTGGTCGTATCTTTACCCAGATTACCCTCAGGATGGTCGATTAGACTCCTCACCGGTTGGTACTGGCTTTATTGCATACTCTTAGTGGTCTCGTACCGGGCGAGTATGACAGCTATCCTCGCCAATCCAGCGCCGAGGGTAACAATCGACACTTTGAAAGAACTGGTCGATAGCAGATTGGCCTGCGGTGGTTGGGGAAGCGAGACTAAGAAGTTCTTTCAAGAATCCTTGGACGAAACGGGTCAAAGAATTGGTGAGAACTTCGACAATGTGAACAGCCCTGAGGAAGCAGCTAGACGTATCGCTCAAGGTGCTTTTGCGTATTACGACAGCTCCGATTTTCTGAAGTACCTCAGTGTTAGAAGGAAGGCAAATATGACGATTTCTGCCGGCAATTTCACGGTTAATGACACAGAAGAACATAATGAAAGGAGCCTACATATTATGAGCGACTGCGTCGTAAATGCCCCGATCTCTATTGGGTTTCATAAAAATTCTCCTTTAAAACCTCTCGCTGACGAGTATCTGAAGCGAATAGTTGAAGTAGGACTCGTAGGGAAGTGGCTTAATGACGCCATGTACAAAATCAGATCATTAGACAAAACTGAGGAAGAGATTAAAGCATTGATTAATTTAAAGAAGATGTATTGTGCGTTCATAGCCCTGGCTATAGGTTATAGTTTGAGTCTGTTATGCCTTTTAGCTGAATATGCTCATTGGAATTTTATAGTAAAAAGAGATCCCAATTTCGACAAATACAACTTAGCCAAGTACTATGACAATAAAAACAAAAGACAGTAGCATAAGTCAATAGTTTATTAAATTATCATGATTAAGAATTAAATATATCAGTCGCTATAAATGCAATATGAGCTAATAAACATTATTTAAATCAATTGTACAGTTAATCCTAACACAGCTATAAAACATTACCTACTTTTGTAAACAAGTCACTAGCTATAACTTTCTTTTTGATATAAAATAACAGAGATGTTAAGAAAATCTTGAAGAATTGAAAATTATAAAGAAATTGTGTTACACAGAGAAAAATAAAATTATGAATATTTCTGTAATAGTAAGTTTGTCAAAGTTTTTTCATATGTCAATATTTTTTTTTGTATAGGTACAAAATAATAATTGACCCTAATTTAATCTAAATCAGACTTAACAGAACATTATTTATAGATGGTAACTATTTTTGTTCAGCATCGAAAATTGGTGGCTTAGTGCCATCTGGTGCATTTTGCATGATCCAGGGATGCTTCAACACCTTGGCTAATGGCAATCTCTCTTCTGGTCTTATAACAAGTAATTTTCCTATTAAATCCCTGGCTAAATCAGACACATAGTCCGGGTACTTTATAATAACATGCCTAATCTTCTTGTATGTCACATGCTGATCTTTTGCTTCAAATGGTGGAAGTCCAACTAACAACTCATAACATAGCACTCCTAGACTCCACAAGTCAACAGCATAATTGTGAGGTTTCGAATCAAGCATCTCAGGGGACAAATAATCTAATGTACCACATATTGTCATGCGTCTTGAAGATGGAGAGTGAACGGACCAGCCGAAGTCAGCAATCTTCAACTCCCAATTGTGTCCAATTAATAGATTCTCCGGTTTCAAATCCCTGTGAATTACCTTCATTTGGTGACAGTACATCAGTGCTTTGGTCAAGTCTCGTACATAAATAGCAGCAGTTCTCTCGTCGAATCTACCGCGAGCTTTCAACAGTCTATACAGAGCACCATGCTTAGCATATTCTAAGATAAGATAAATCCGTCGTTCATCGTGGAAGTAGCCATACATACGTAGGATATTTGGGTGACGCAGTCGACACTGTATTTCGACTTCTCTTCGCACTTGATGCTCAATGTCAGATGAGAGTATTTGGCTCTTGAACAAAACCTTAAGAGCTACCACATAGTGCGATTTTTTCTCTCTAGCTAAATAAACACTTCCGAATTTACCTTTACCGAGGGGACGTCCGAGATCGAAGTCACTGATGGCCCAAAGTTTGTTATTATCTTTTTGAACGTCAGATGCTGGTTCCCCATTTGAACTACTAGCAACCTGGTTATTAGCTTGCAGTGGACGGCTAGCAGGTGCTGCTGGAATTTTAAAACCATCAGTTGTCTGGGGTATTTTAGGCGTACTCGTAGACGACACGAGTATCGGTGGTTTTGGTGGCTTATTTTCTTTAGTATTCATAGTTATCGAACGCGAATAGCACGGCGCAAGTATTCAGGGATATATAAAAAAACACATTTATGATTATTTTTCGAGATTCAAATTACAACGTATTCTTGTATGTCAATTTACGTTTCCTTTCAAATACTGCAAAACGTAAATGCCAAAAACGATATACCTATAATAAAAATCTAACTTCCTGTATACATTCTGTGGTGTAAGTTTAATATGAATTATTATTATTGAAAAATAATTTTCATTACTTATATATTCAAATTTTATTTAAGTATAAAAATGGTAAGACTCTTTAAAAATAATAGCTTTTAACATTAATAATTATTTTAGATTTAAATATGTTCAGTATCATGTACAAAAATGTAATCTATGAATAAAATTAGGTAACTGACAATCTGACACCTGTGGCTCTGACAAATGATAACTAGACACTGACAGTGACATAAGCCAGCTGTTATGGCCTTTCTCGTTTCGGTATTTAAAACTTTTCACATATTCTCGTTTTTCTGGATTGACTTCATATATTTCTTTTAAGTTATCTAAGTGTCTCTTTTTATATTTACATATATATACAGCAAGGACTAGCCGGTAAGTATCTTTTCCACCAACCATAACCTGAAAGTCTTTATATACTAAAATTTAACATTTATACCTTATTAAAATTACTTTTTAATTAGGGAACTGAAACGAATTAAAATTACTTTGGGTTTGTGAACAGACTGACGTATTTTATTGGTATTTGTAGAGCTAGTTCCTAGAGTTATGTCTGATGATGCTGAACAGCAGACAGAGGAAGTGGAGGTTCTGAAATCTATATATGAAGGAGATGAGAATTTTAAGCAGTTAAATGATACCACTTATCAGTATAAGGTATGTTATAGGTATTGAATTTTTTAACATATAGAATATAATTATATATTTTTAACATTCACTTGTAAAACATGTGTTTTATTCCCTTACAATGACATGTCGTTTATTATGACCCATTTTCAATAAATTTTGTCCGGTTATAATGACCACCATGATTATATTACACCTCCCGGTACTCGGTAATGTTTGTTGATTCCGGACGATGTTTGGTTCGAAGAAGAAGTAGAGGAAGAACGATTCCCTACCGTAGAAGAGGCATTAAAAGTTGCAGAATTATTATCAGAATTTTTTCATAGCAATATTAAAAATGATAATTTGACCAGAACAATGGCTTCTTTACACAATAATATCAGAGACTATTTGTACAATAAAATGAAGAAACAAAAACCAACAAAAAATTATAGATTACATGAAAAAATACATTTCTATGGGTATAATTTACTTATTACGTGCAATTTTTGTTTTCATGTAATATGTATGTTTACATATTTATTTACTATGTACCTCTATTAAAATACATACATATTTACATAAAAAATATTTCTTTTTTACAAAACGCATTGTATGACATCCGCTTATTAAGACGTGTTTGTCAGTTCCTTTCCATGTCATTATAAACGGATTCAACTAACTGTATTACTCATTCTTATGTTTTTATTTTCAGTATAAAGAAGGGGAAAAATCTTTTATAGTAGAAATATCATGGGGTCCCACATACCCCACAGAAAAACCTAAAATAAATTTAGAAATATTCTACAACCAGCACTTGTAAGTATTTTGTGTCAAGTCACTCTTTAAAATATAGAAAGGATTTCAAAAATATATTTGTTGGTCAGAATAGTGAGATTTTATCTTTAATTTATAATTATCAAATAAAACATCATCACACTTTGCCACATAAATGGAAAAAAGTACAACACAGTAGCTATTGGCTTTAAAATTCATTTAGCAGACAATTTGTTGTATCTGTAGTTTCAAGTAGTAAATCTATTTAAAACTTAAAATTCGAAAATAAATTGAAAAAAATTTCGATTTGGGCAGGACTTGAAACAGCATCGTTAGCGTTCCTTGCTGTTGCTCTACCAATTGAGCAGCACAGAACGCTGACGATGCCGGTTCTAGTCCTACCCGAAACGAAATTTATTTTCAATTTATTTTCCAATTTTAAATAATATGGTATGTGCAATAACATGTAAACAATATTAATGTTTTCAAACATGTTAAAACTTTATTCTCACGGCTGTAAAGTATGTGAAGCACTTGGTTATGATTAATACTACCTATTATTGTTTGAGATATATCCTGATAAAAACATTGTTAAGTAAAAACAAATTCAAAATTTTTTTGCTTATCATAAATCAAACATTTTTTATTTCCATTTCAGATTAACATCTGTTAAAGAAAATATCTTAAAAATTCTTGATGCAGAAGCAGAACAGTGGTTAGGTTGTGCAATGACCTATACATTATTTGAGTGTCTGAAAGATAAAGTACCAGAGATCCTTGCAGAGCAGACCGAAGAGGTGGTTACAGCAAGGATGGAGAAAGTAGTTATTGCAGAACAGGTATATATATCAATTTATTATAACATGTAATTCCGTTTTTTGCTATAATATGAATTTATAACCAACCTGGAAATGTGTACAAACATTTTTAAACCCCCGACATGTTGAGACATTTACACCACCTTCAAGCTGAGTAAAACAAAAAGGAGGTTCTTATTTCATAATATTTTGAAGGAATTTTGGGTAATGATGGAAGACCAGACTAATCTAGGGATACTTTCAAAATTAGAAGGGAACTAGTGCTTTTGGGATGCTAATTATTAATTAAAATACTTTGTACTATGCTAAGATTCGTAATTATTCATTGATACTTCCAGATGGAGTCCAAGAAGCCTGAAAAGAAAGAACAGCTCAGTAAATCTCAGAAAAGGAGAGCATGGGATCGAGCAGAAATGGGTCGTGGAGGGGAGAAACCCCGTGGATGGGATTGGGTTGACATTGTCAAGCATTTATCTCAAGTGCCCCATACTCCACCTTCTTGACTTTAAAAGTGAAAGTGAGAATGAGAGAGGACCTTTGTATTTATACACTTAACTAGGAAACTATGTTGTAAATTCTACATTATTTGTATATTGTATGGACTACTTTTCTGCATGGAAAGTGAACTTGCTATCTCAAATGTATGTTGTAATAGATGTAAAATTGTACATTTATGTTGTGATATAAATTATACTATACCACACAAACTAAAGCTTAGCTCTTATTTCTTTAATTTTCAATTAATTAAATAACTTCTATTTAATATTTGAAATCTTTAATATTTTCGCACGATGGCACTACATAAATTCAAACCAATTTTAGATTGAAAAAATAAATGTTGTGGATGGCAGTTCGAATCCTGCCCGTGTCGTAATTTAAAAAAAATGTAAAATCGATGTCTATGTTTCTCGATTATCACCTCTAGTATTAACTAACAACAGGAAAAGGCTGAGGGTAAAGTGTTACTGTAATCAATTTTATGTTGAAAGATAGCAACACAGTCAGTTATTAGAGCAGTGGCATGTACATTGTTGGTAGTGAGTTTGAGTCATAATAACATTTAAAGGAGGTTTTAACTTGATTTTGAACCCATTGGATGTATCACCCCAAATCGTCTAAGTAAATTATAATTAAATGTATATTTTTCTATGGTGACAATAGTATTATTATTTTAATAATCTGTTTAAAATTTATTTGATTTAATCTAATCTATGGTCAAAAAACAAATATTGAAATAGTCAAAATGACAAATTCAAATGCTTATTTTTGAATATTTTTTCTATAAATAGCACAAGAATATGAAATATACAGTGCAAGAGTGGTATACACCAGCCGAGGTTTCCCTCCATAATAAGGCTACAGACTGTTGGGTATCGTTGAATGGTAAAGTGAGGAATTTGACGAAATGGCTTGAGCAGCAGTTTAGGCTGTGTAGATGCGTCAAGTCCTGTTCCTGTCCAGTGAAGAATTGGTACTGCGGTGATGATTGCATGGAGTACTGCGCATGTTTCAAGCGAGGGTTCTTATATTGTGATTCTAAACGGGTAAGAGATTGGAGGACCGAGTCATAGACATTCCTCTTTTATTTTTGGTACTTATATTGAGGTTTTAAAGTAAAGATGCTCGTAAGAATTTTCACAATTCCCTTGTAACGAGACACAGTTTTTTTTTACCTCAGGCTATTTTATATAATCGCTAGGATGAAATATTACAAGGGTTTTATCTACTGTTTAAAAGATGGCTAAGATTTTTTTAGAACTACCTATATCCTACCTACCTAGGTACTTTTGACACTCTTTTCGTAATAGGCACTATCTTAAATAGGATGGGTCGTTTCCTATATTAGATTTTAATAAAAGCGCCTCAAAATATAAAATAAGGAAGTTGGAGCTTTATTCTCCACTCCACGTGATGTAAGGTAAAACACCCTATAACCCTGTAACATTAAATTAAAATGTATTGTCGGCCTATACTGGTTTTGGGCATTCGGATTACATACATGAAGATGTTTGAAGAAAAGATTATACAATTCTCGTTATTTTCGGAAAAACTTTGCAAATTATCAGAAAACCTCTCTAGGCATATATTGTTCTAGGAGATGTTAATTGCCTAAAAATTATATCAAAACCGACCTAGTCGTATGTGTACTAATTCTAGTTGGCCATGACGATCCTCGCACACGCCGGTAAGGATGTGAGCCACTGGTTCAAAGGTGACGAATGGGTGAAATACACTCACCCTATCGTTGGTTCCACCATCCCATACCAGCAATACGGCCATGGGCATAGACAACCAGTGGTACCTTCCACAAAATGGCGTCCAATATGTAGCTCTAATCCTTGGTGGCTTGACGAATGTAATGTGGTGGGAAAAGTGACGGCGAAGACGAGACCAATTAGGATTACTAATTCTCTTATAGGTACTATCTTTAATACGTAACGTAAACTAGATTTTATTGGTTTTTAACAATTTAAAATTTCTTGGGGTTTTAAGGAACTCGCTCTAACAAGAAAAATGCGTAGTAAGTACATACACTTAAAGTGCTGTGAAATGAAACTTGGCGAAAAAAGCAGTGGCGGCGAGTTTCAATTTTTCTAGTTCGTTCTTCAAGCTTGATTTGAGAACTGGTAGTAAATGTAAATTTTGTACTTAGTTTTTAACTGGTGTAACGTTCATAAGTGTACCTATTTACTTACTCGAATGATAATTTTTGACTTTGTACACACATATAAAGCTGAAGAGTTTCTTTGTTTGCACGCGCTAACCTCGGGAATTAGGTAATGGTTAGAATTGAAAAATGATTTTTATTTTGCTCAGGGCATTTATCGAGGAAGGCTAGGCTATAAAATCTATCGCTGCGACTAATAGTAGCAAAGTAACTGCGAGAAATGTGGAAAAAATGGGGAAAATTTGTCATCCTTGAGGGTTGCTTACCGTTGCTCAAGCTGCGAACTCACTTCACTTTTTTATCCGAATTATACTAAACAAAACCCACTTTTATGGTTTTAACTTTTGAACTAAAATATTTACACCCAGGAACTTCAGTGACTCTGGAAGTCTGCTCCGAAGAAACCCTCTTTCAAATAATGATGCGATACCTCCCTCACAATTCGCATATGCTCTCCTATTCTTGGAGATATCTGGACCGACCACTCAACTATAATTTGACCCTGGAACAGAACGGAGTACCTGATGATAGGGAAATCTACAATGATGTTGCTTTGCCGGAGAACTTGCATATCCCTGATCTTCTTATCTACTACAACGATGACTTGACTGAAGGTACAATTTATTCGGCCAATTTTGAAGTTAGAATCTACCCCACTTCATAGAACTTAGGATCTAGGACTTAACAAATAACATCTAATGTTTCGGTTCTACCATTTCACCTAGTTTACTAAATAATAAGGTAACAGAATGTAGAGACACAATAAGAAACTTCAGACCCCGATAGTCGGTGTAAAAGAACCAGAGCAGCTCTATTGATGTAATGCGACTTGACGCATAATTTTAATATTGTCGCTTGCAAAATTTCATTAAAATCAACCGAATATAACGCAAGAACTCTTTTACGAATAAACAAAAAAAAATCTGAATATAGTTACAGACACTTGAATGACTCAAAGCAATAATAACTACGAAGCGTGTTGTCATTAAAATAAAAATCAACAACTATTGTTGTAACTGATTGTACTTACTTACTTACTTTCTATACAAATAAACTTCTTTAAATTTCTTCATGAGACATTTTTGCTTTTTCAAATAGTCTTATCACCGTGTCTATACAGTTAAAATAATTGTGATAAGTCGGCGGCACACTGTATATCGTCGTATTTGTATACGATTACCATAATTAAAAAAATAATGATTTTTATAGATCCACCCAAAGAATGCTATTGTGAAAATGAAGATTGCATAACTGGCCACCCTGAGGGTTGCCACAATAAAAATGAAGACGAATACGACCTTTGAAAGCTGTTATGTAACATTTGTTAAATAAAGAACTTTCAATTAGGGCGTTCTTTTGCTCCCCTTATAAACTTGAATGTCGCATTTCTATTACTATTGTTATGTCAAATGTTAAATTTAATAGTAAGTAGAAAGGACAAGCTTTTATTATACTAACACAATGGTTAACGTGTAAACTTTAATGGAAAATTAAGAATCTGGTTTTGTTATGCTTTTAAATAATTAAAATGTTTATTGTGGTGTCTCCAGTACCAGTACATATAGAAAAGTAACCTTTAAATAATCGACTTTTCGGACTTCTTAACCGTTAAAGTGTTTTATTTAAAAGATTTTTATTAACATTCTACAACGCTTACGCGTAAAATTAACCAACGAAAAACAACAAATAAACAAAGCAAAAGGGAGGAACGGAAGTTAGACGAATAGCAGCAAATTGGAAGATTATCATTTACGATAATTAATGATAGTTTTACAAGAATTATAATATGTATAATATTAAATACTAAATTACACAAAGTATTTATAGAGAAAATGAATTGATTAATCCTGCACCGCCTCCATGAGCAACCGCAAGAGGTTCTGGATTTGAATCCCGAGAAAACGTAATACATTTCTTTGATAGAGCTCACCGTGCTAATTAATAAAAGAAACAAAATCAGCCAGTAAAACAGATACAGATGTGACAATTTTTTTTCACTTAATACCGATCAAAGAATCAGTTACCTCCTTTGATCTAACTGAATTGTAATGATATATGGTGTTTTTCCTGGCACGTGCGGTCATTGGTATTTACCTCGGACCGAGTAAAAGTCATTAGCCATTAAATTATGTGATTTGTATGTTTATTAAGCAGAACGGCACGCGACGCGAGCGAAAAAACTCATTATGATGTAGCTTATGTTCAACTGTAGATGGCGGTAGTGTAGAAGGAATTACTTTCACGCACCTAAAATTGTGTGCACAGTTGACTCTTTTAAGGAATAGGATGGACATATTTTTGTGTCTGTTTCACTGATCACTTTTATGTACAGACAAGTTAGTCAGGGTTGTGCCCTACCCGACTGATATTATTTTTGTTATCCCGGTATTCATTGAGGGCGCTAGAGCAAGAGTGGCCTAAAAATCCCATGATTATCTATAAGGAGGAAAATAAAAATGCCCTATTATTTTGGTAAGAATTATGTTAATAATTTTCGGTCACTGTGCTCTTATAGATTAACAAGTTTAAACTATTAATAAGTCAAGTCTACTTGCAGTTAGGCTACTATGCCTCTAGCCTCGATTGTGAAAAGTAACATAATAATGAATGGCGATACGCGCCTGGACAGGCACAGAAGTACTAAACTATTTGTCTGGTAATACAAAGAAGAATAGAAACAAAAAGTTACACATGTTAAGTAATATTTTATTTCACGTCAAATCAAATACTATTTCTGACTTATTAATCTACTGTTTATGGAGTCTTCGACTTGTGTTTTTTAACCTTACGCCTGTCACAGGATATACGCTCAACCGAGCGTGACGTTGCTGACTGTACCCAGTGTTGCCATGCTCCTGAGCATATCACCTGGGCTATATTAATATTAATGACGGGGAAAAAAGTATTGTACATTACTTTTTATATGTGCTTAGGTTTTTTTGTTTATTAATTCTATTGCACAAAATATGCGCTCTCTACCTTATTTTCTTAAAACAATATAAATAAATACTGTCTATAGTTTACACGAGTAGTTCACATTTAAATAAAACACTTTAACGGTTTAAAAGTAATATCAAATCAGTTTAATTAATTCAAATGACGTTTTACTAAAGTTACTAATGTCGTTTTATAAAAAATAAATAATTTATAGTAAAACATATATAAATAACATTATTGTACATGGCTATATGTCACAATGACAATAGTCATTCAAGGTAGTAGGTTTTGGTCTTGTTTCTATAAATTTCTACATGATACATTATATTTGAATACAGTCCGTATGTATACGTATAGTACAGACAAAAATGAATAACATATAACGCTTTCATCACCTCAAACAATCCGAGTTATTCGAAATTAATAAATACATTAATTTAAATTTACCCATCCTTGTCATAAATTACGTAACACAAGTGACAATTATTACAATGCACTTTCTCAAATACCCCACGCAATATTAGCATTAATTCGAAGACAACGCACCCGCTTATTTGCGTACAAGCAAGTACAAAGAGACCACCACGCATGCGCGGATCGGATAATTCACGTGTTACCCCGGATTGCCCCATGCAAAGTCCCATTAAAAATAATACATCACTTCACCCAATGAGAATCTAAGGAACGCGCGCGTAGCGTAACTTTCGCGCCCTTTTCGACATTTAAAAAACGCGGGATAGTTGACATTTCGATGTTTTGACTATTGACAAGTGAAAAGTTTTGTGTAAGTTACAGTTAAAAAAGTTTTTATATATTCATGGACAAGGATTACTTAGGTAAGGTTTAAGCATGGACAAGACTTTTAACATTGCCTTTTTAATTATTTTTGGTTTCAAAATTTCATATCAAACGTTTTCCAATTGTTTTTTATAGTTATTGGCCTGGTAACCTTTAAGCCAAATTTCCTATTTAAAGTGGGCATGCATAAACTACATATAAGTGTAGCATTAAAAAAAAGAAACAAATATTGCTGGTTGGTAAAGTGCCTTTTTGGCTATGATATAATCTTTCAATCAACTCTATAATCTTAAACTTGTTTCAAAATTTATAGAGTTATTTTATTATATCTTCGTAACAAAAAATGCTATCGGTAAACAATAAGCTAGTAGCGCGTCCATTTAAACAGAAGTAAGGGAGCGACTGTGTTTGAATTGATTATGTTAACCATACACGATCGATAGGCCACCCCTAATATTTTCACCCTATTTCAATTAGTGAAGTATTTTCTGGGAGAGGCGCAATTTACTTCAATGTAGCATGTATTATTACGAAAGCTTCTCGATAAAAGTTATATAAACTCTATACAACAATAAATTATAACATATACACAAAATAATATTATTCATTTATCATATCTTAGACGTTATTATAACACTAGCTGTGTCAACGACTTCTTCCGCGTAGAATAGTTATTTTGGGTATCCTAATTTGTTTTTGCAAACCTCCATTTATCTGTTTAAATGTAAGTTGTTACCCACGAGTTACCATCGGTCGGGTCCCGTCGTTCTTGCAAGTTTATCTTGAAAAATAGTCATATTATAGTGTCGCGGACATTTTTTTAGATCATATATAGGGGAATCATTCCTTCATACATATTTCTCGGGTGTCTTGAACCGTTTTCGCAGCGTACGCATCGGAAACCCACACAGATAAATAACTTTTCACCGTTTTTTCCGCATTTCCCGCTGGTTCTTCGGTCTTATACACCGTAATGTAACCTTCCTCGATAAACGCCCTAGCTAACACAAAACTAATTTTTCAATTAATTAATTTAAAACTTTTGTTTGAAACTTGATTTAATTAATTATTTAGACTTTTGTTTGACAATATGATAGAATATTTGTCCAAAATGAAAAAATCCTCTAATGACCATCACTTTAAAACCAAACCGTTATCTAGTTAACTATTGTGGATGTAGAAACAATGGAAGCTTATCGAATCCGATGGATTCCACTATATCGTCATATCCGGTCAAAACAGGATCCTAAAACTTATTTGGTTTGACAATTGATAACAATGCACCTAAGGTTAAATAAAAAATAAAACTACCTTCATATGTTTTTTATCATAAGGTTTATTAAGTATAAGTAATATATATAAATATATAATATTTATATCGATGAAGTTCTCTAAATCAACCCGATGCTGTGTGTTGCTGTTGGGTCATAAAGATGATCATGAAAAAGTCGGGTCGCAGGTTAATTAATTAATATATTTCTTTGCTTATGCTTTGTGTTAAATTAAAAAAAAGAGTTTATTGTATATAGTTATTATATAGAGTAGCTAGTTATCAATTACATTAATAAAATGGGCTGCAAAAGTAACTTTATTGTATATTGATTATATTAAAGAAATGAATGAATGAGAAACAAATATACATGCATGATCCATTCTTACAAAAAAAAGGACTGCGATGTTAATTCTATCAAAGGCTTAATCATATTAATTATTATTATTTCTTTTACAGTTTAAACATGGCCACGCTACCAATATATGTGTCACTGAGCAGGTAAATTACGGATTACAATTTAATTTGGATTAAATTTAATACTGTTTAGATATTGCGGACTATTTTTTAGCATGCTTTGTATTACAATTACTTACAAAAACAAATGTGACGTCGTGTTGACAGGGTATGTATTCCCAATCAAAGTTTGGATAGGGTACACCATTTTAATAAAACATTTTAAGGTTTAAAACGATATATAGTAAATTATTGAATTTTTAGCTTCCGACGTTTCAGATCTTTCGCAGCCGTGGTCACGGGGAGACCCCCGCAAACGTCGGGCCGAAGTTGAAAAATCATTTTCAAATATGTTTAACTAATATATCGCGTTTTAAACCGTTAAAGTGTTATTATGCAAATGTGGGAATTACTCGCGTAAACTATAGACAGTATCTAGGGTACACCATTATTTGTAATTCGCCCGCAATTTGCAAAGGCGTTAATATTTTTCACATGTTATTGCAAATTATGGCATTATATAAATTGAACATCTATTAAAATGTATACCTCATTGGTACCTCAGTTGCTCGTAGCAACAGCACCGAACGCTGTGGAAGCCGGTACAAATCCCGGCTGTATAATAAAATTTATTCAAGCTAAATAAAATTTTAACTTAAAACACAATCATTTCGTTTCGTCTGTAGTTTGTGGGATTGGTTTAAAATGTATCAAGACGTCCGTCCATTCGTTCCTACGTCTCGATCGTAGTTGATAATTATTTACCAATGTACCCCGTTTAAAACAAGATTTTAACTGTCGAATGTGAATTCGTCGTACGTTGCGTTAGAATTTTTTCAAGAA